TATATACATAAAGGTATACATTTATATATATTGAAAATACTTATGTAGGGCAAGTTTTAAACAACTTTTATGCAATACATTTCTTAAAAAACAAAACAAAACAAAAAAAAAGGAAAACAACACAAAAGTTACGCTTAACTAATTGATGATCTTGTTTACGATTAAGTACAATTTGAAAGAAGAAACAAAAACAAAAAGATGAAAATTTAATTTTAATACACTTTTGCCTTAGTTTAGTTTATATTTTTGCTTTCTTTTTTATATATCTAGTTTATTTGCAAGAAAAAAAGCAAAACAATTTTTTTTTTCGCTGGTTTTTTGAAAAAAACTCGATAATGATTTTCTTTATTTGTGCCGAAAAACTCCCATTTTGTTTATAAGTAGCTTTAATGTCTTAATTTTTTGAAATAAAACAAAACAGTTTTGCCTTCTAAACTACCTGTAGAATAATATATATATATWTATGTATAAGCTGTACATTAATGGCTTAAATGCGTGGAAAAAACACTAGTATATTTATATACACGTAATAATTGTGCCTAAACACATTTTACTTGCGCTTTCAATGTTTCATGTAAAAAGAAATAACGAAGAAAACTAAATTTTCGTTTAGCTTGAAAGTATTGAAAACAAAACAAAAAACAGCAAAAGATTGCCTTAAAGTTTACAGTTACAATGCCTTACACAGTTTTGAATTGCCTTTTGCGAGCTTTATGCAGCGCTGTTTTATGTAAAACTACTGTAAAAGAATTTTGAAAAATTAAGTAAATAAAGACAAAAAAAACATTTCATTTAACAAGATCTGGCAACGTTAGACGAACGCTAGATACGCAGCTTACAGCATTAGTTACTTTAGTAATTCAACTATGCTTTGCTCTTATTACTGCTGACTATATAATGTAACTGTGTTTTTTCGTAAGCAAGCAGTCGATAATATTGCCAATTACTTTTTATATCAGTCTGGCCACACCAGACATTTCTTTTGCCTTTTATCGATATAGCTCAGGCGATGTGTGTTTAGTGCACAATCGATAAACAGCTGACATATGGTGAGAAAGTGATTATTTTTCTGTTTTCACCAACTGGTCATATTTTTTTAGCTGTGAAATTTTGTCAACATGGGCGATCCGGCAGTCTACGATCCATTGGAATTATTGACAAATAAAGGCACCCGTCAACCTACATTCTTGTCGCCAATATGGAATCCAATGGCCGGCGCTCTAGCCGGCTTCGGCGCTGCGCTATTCACCAACTGGGGCTTCCGTAAGCCTGTTTTATCTGGTAAGTTTGCGACGCACGGCTGTGACGTAACATTGTTTTTCTATGTTTTAAATAATAACTAATTATAATTTCTATACAGGTATTCAAAAACATATTTTGTTTACACTCATCGGCGGCGGAGTTGGCTACTACCTGGATAACAAGCGCAACGAGTATCTGGCCAAGCGTGATGCCGTGCTCCGGCATTACGTTGAACTGCATCCTGAGGACTTCCCTAAGACAGGTGAGATACATTTTGTTGCTAATGCTTTTCAGACATATTTGAAACAGCTTTTGTTATATTCCACTTTCCAGCTCGTAAGAAGTACGCCGACGTTTTGGAAAGTTGGGTGCCTGTTCGCTAAGAACTCGAATGTTGCTTAAAGATCTACGGAGCAAGCCCTGCTTCGAAACAACATTTTATAGTTAATTAAAAGGCTTTAATTGTAATACATATGAATAAACAACTGTAATGAAGGCGCTTGTCTGCATTTCAAGTGTTTTATACGGATTTAAATGCAATCAGAAGCAAGCGGCAGTGTTACCAGCCGCTGGAAAATTTAAAAATACCTAAGCATGAAGGCGCGCATTTTGAATGCAATATAATAGGCATAACACATAATTTAATTTTTAACAAGCTAAGCTAATCATTATAAACATGCTAATAAAATTTTGCTATGCGTTCAATTTGTTTTTAATAATTACTTGATATATATATCTTACTATTCATTTAAAACCTTCACCCTAGCTTTGCCAATGCAACTTTAAACTACGTTCGGTATTTTTCGACGGGCAAATTTAAGCTCTTCACTTGTTTCCGAAAAAATACTACCGCTGCGCTTTTGGTGTTCAGGTCACACCTCCGCGATTTCAGATTCAGTTTCCGGTGAATCGTTCTGCTTGTAGGATGTCGCGACGCATCATTCAATCGCGAGCACGGATAATAATACCATCGCAGATTAAAATATAAGGCAAAAAAAAAAAAACGCGCCAAAAAATCAATACATTTAAATGCAAAATAAATATAATATATTTCATTACTAAAAACATTAACAATTGTGCTCAAATCACAATTGCTTTTTAACTGCTTCCGAACTTTTCACGTGCGCGAAATTTAGTGTGTGAGTGCGCGTTCATGTGCTTGTGTTCGTGTGTATGTGTATGTTGTACTGTTAGGATTTTACCGTTACAAATTAGGAGAAGCGAAAAATCAGCGACATAAGAAACGGCGCGATTTCTTTTGCCATATTAATAGGAAGTAAATGCAAAAGTAAATGAAAAATAAATCAAAGCTCCACTTGGCACACCAATTATTGATAATTAACTAAAAATTAATTAGTTGTGAGTTGCTATTAGGATTTTGTTGCTGATATTTGTTTTTTGTTACTTACTATCAACCTTTGGGCAAGAGCAAGCGCCAAACTCGAACCCAGCCGCCGCAGTAGCAACAACAACAACAACGACGCAGTTTCTGGAGAAGCGAACTCACTTCAATCGCAGCAACAACAACAACAACCAGAAAAGCTTTAGTCTTTGCCCAAAAGGCCGACGGCTTTTTTTATGCAAAAAACAATAAAAATCTAATTTTTTTTGCAAGCATTGACACAGCGAACCGTTATGTCTAAGGTAGGCGCACTCATCTAAAGTTTAGCTCTTAATTTTATTAAAACAATTATTTAGTTATTTATGTGCAGACGGCCTGGCGGTGTGCCTATGCCGTACTCCTCTCACACATATCACTTCATTTGCTGTCCCTTTCTGCGGCGCTCCTTACAACTGCTTTGTCAATATGGATTTCATTTGATTGCGTATGCGTGTATGTGTTTGGGGGTGACTGTGTGTGTGTGTGTGCGTGTGTGTGGGAGTTGATTTTCACTTGTGTTTGTATAAATTATGCATATTTGTGGTTTTTGCCAATTGGGGGCTGCTGCTGCCGCTTAGCTGGGGATGGTAGTTCGGCTGGCAGAGGGCACATTGATTTCTTGAGTTTTCTTCTTCCAAATTTTTCCCCCCTAAGGGGAAAGGTGCGATTTTTATGGCGTGTAAAATTGGCAACAAATGTTAAGAGAGTCAGGGTTAGGTAAATGTAGATGTGGGTGTGTGTGAGTGGGTGTGTAAAAACTCACATAAATTGCAAGAAAGTTCCGCAAGATTGCTCTTGCTCTTGCTCTTGATGGCATTTGATGGGCATAATAAATCTTTTTCCGCATGCTCCCAAAAGGGATTTGAGATATAGAAAATTATCTGCATTTATTTGCGTAATTATGGGATTGAAATATTATTGAAATGCTTCTATTAATAAAATATCAAATATTCTTATGCTAGTTTATCAATGTGGAGCCATATTCATTTTCAAGTAAAATAAAAAAAAAACATATTTTTATAACATTAATCTTGATACGAAATATGTTTCTCCGAGAGAAACGTCATCGACTTTCAAAAGTATTTATACCATGTGTGATCAGGTTAAACAGCTGAGTCAATTGAGAAAAAAGTCTGGACTTGAGTTTCTATGCAAACTAATCGCTCGACTTAAAGTGTATATAAATTAATATAACAAATATGTTTAATAAGGATTGAATGAAAAACATTTGTTTTCCTCTATATCTAAAAACGACTTACAACTCTATGGAATTTTTGCTGTTATATATCATTAATCATTTTCGTATTATTAATGGATATTTTGCTATTCGATGCAAACCCATTATTTGTTTTTTCTTGGGTTCATTTACCTGGCACTTTGGCTAATGAAAACTCTAATAAACTCGTGCTATTTGCTTAAACCGCAAGTAAATGAGATTTCCGGCCATAAAACAGCAAACACGGAAATTCGAAATTCGAAATTCAGCGAATGTCCCAATCAAAGGCACCCAAAAATAAAACTCCAATTTCAAGTGCCTGAAATCATTTTCGGTTTTACACGTTTCACCCAAAAGTGAGCAACGTTTCGCTGTTCACATGCCCTCAAGAATTTGTGCATGCATTTTTTATGGCTCGAGCGACTGTGTGCAGGTGGGTGTGGGTGTGGGTGTGGGCGTGGGTGTTTGGGCCGAACATTTGAGAGTCGCGTGCCTGTAATTTCTCTTATATTCTTGCCAGATAAATTACTTTTTTTTTCACGTCACTTGTCGCTGGCATATAAAGTGCTTATCTTGCAGCTAAGTTGATTTGTTTTCTTTTTATGTGCCACGCCCACCTACCTTGTTTTTTTATAATTTTATATTCTTTGCATTTGGCATTGTCTTTATGATGCAGCGCATAAAAATTCTGATTTTCACAGAGCAGAAATATGAGGCGCACAGCTGGCGGCAAGTGAACAATCAAAATCATGGCCTAAACCAGATTCTATGGGCCCAACAGCTTGTTCCATAACAAAAGCAATTCAGTTTCCATATTATTAGCCATATTTATATATGTTTGATATGTACGCTAGGCCAAGGCGTGGCCTGGCCTTGAAACGCGAATTGTGCACAAAGCGTTTATGAATAGAAATGATGAAGTTATAGAGAAACAATTGGGTGGATGCGCTTTTTGACAAAAACAGTCACTATCATGATAAGAAACGAATCTTATTACTTATCGATAACGATAACGCAAATGCACACATTTGAATATCACTTCACTTTAATAATACTACACAATAATAACAATAATTTGTATATACTGTTAATTATTGTTATCGAAAATCGATCGCAATAATAATTATGAACAATTTGTGTTTATAATCAAATATTAACGAATGCATATTAAATATTATATATAAAAGAAATGAATGAGGTATTTTTCTATCAGCACATCGTATTCATAACGCATCGATGAATACCCATTTGACCTAACATTATTTACTGATAACTTAAAGTTATCGATTACAGCTTTCACTTATATGATACACTAAATTGTATTGTTGGCCTTACAAAGATTTTTGTTAGTTTAGCTAGCTCTCACGTGCTATTTGCCACACTCCACATTTTTATAGGGTATACGAGCAAAAAAATACTGTAAAGCTGTACTCAATGACGCTGCACTTTTATTGTGCGCCCTTCCGCGACAAGCCTCATAATCATCAACATCATCCTCAGTGGCCTCCTTGTCGTCTCAACTGTGCCTGGCCACGCCCATTCGTTGAAATGCCTGCCGCCCACTCATCCTTCGTAGAGTCTCTAGTCGCTAGTATAGACGCCCGCTATACAATTGTCGGCTGTGGCTTTTTTGTGTGTCAACAGCAGGAGCTGCTACTGCTGCTACTGCTGCTGCTGTTGCTGCAAGGATAATAACAAGGCATACAACTTGCAGCAACATCCGAGTGGCATAGTCTAAAATATATTATCCCGAGAATGTGTGGAGCACAGTGGCCATGTTTGTTTTTCATTGGCGACAAGTTTCTTGGCTGGAAAAACAATTTTCGTGCAAATATCATTTATCAATTGTTATTAATGTATATAAAGTAAGGCGGCTCGTAAATAAAGCTGAGACAAGAGCACTTTGCAGAAAATACAAAGGTAAAGTTAGAATCTTGAATTTGAGATAAATGAACATTTTATAAATTAGCCCATATACAAATTTAAAGTTTTTGGGAGTAGCATTTAATTAATGATCTAATATAAATATT